AATTGATAAAATAAAATATTAATTTAAAAAAAAGGAAAGGTATTGCATATATTTGTGAATATCGATACAAGTTACGACTAAAAGGTATGATGTACATATATGAATAACTATACAATATATAGAATAGTAATTAGAAAGGAAGAAAATGGAAATAGCCATGATGTAAACACGAGTGATTCCGACACTGGAACTGTAAAAAATGGAAATGGGGGGGTGTAGGCGTTGAAATAAGTTTAACAAAAGTATTTTTTTTTAAAAGTGCCACCCTGTGTGCACACGCAGCCTCCTCCTGCTCACCTGTCACAGGTGTGTAATTGCACCCAGGTTCCTTCAGCTTATCTTGCAGTGCGGCTGGACTCTTTCCCAGACATCTGGGGATTCAAATACCTCCTAAAGGAGATAAGGTGACTCCTGGCAGAGTCCATTTTGCTTCTGAAGCAGCTACCTTGAAGGGAGGGCTGCAGAAATGATCTCCCCGTTTCCCCAGCCCCAAAAAGACCACTTCCTGATATTTCTTTAAGCACAGCTGCATTCTTTCCAGAAAGAGGTCGATTATTCCTTTCATCGCCACGATTAAAAAGAGAGAAGGAAAAAGAGCAAGAGAAGTGATTTTAGTTTCCCTTCGGATCCAGCTGAGCGGTCCATAGGTTCATTCCAGATTCTGATTTCTAGTTCTATCACTTTAAAACAGCATTTAAGCCAAGGTGATTTTTTAAAAAAAGGAGCCAGATTGGTGAAAGGGGGCTCATTCCCCCTTCCGTCCTTCTCTCTCCTTTGGAGGACCCTCGGCCTGGAGATGGACTGGTCCATTTACATTATTCATACGGACTGTCCTGTCGAGCACCCGAGAGATACGGTTACATTGCCAGCTCCACATCAAGAGCTCCACATCTTCGCTTTCCTCCCAGCTCCTTGCAGGAAACACACTGGGGGGGTGGGGGGAGAAGGATGGGAAGCTCCCAGCCAGTGCTGTGTGCGAGATCAACCTTCACTGCAAGCTCTGCTGGGCCTGGGAAGACCCTCCTCTAGGTCTCAAGTTTTTGAGGAAGACTGTTGAGGTCCACCACCTTCAGTAGCCGAGGCCAAGGAAAGATGTTGGAAGGCCCACAAGGACTTTGTCCAGCTTCCTCCACGGGTAAATAAGACAGAATCTTCTCTCTACGTAACTCTGAAATGCGTAATTGCTGAAAACAGGACAAGGGAAGGGAAACAAGAGGTCTTTAGAGCTTCACAGGGTGGTTTTCAGTCTTCAAAGAGGTCACAGAAAGCGTTGCTGTCCGAAATCTTCTGGCTTCTTCATCATGTTTGCTTCCTCCTCTCTGTTCCTGCATGGACAAAATTTTACTGAGCTTCCCCAGGAGGGGATGAAGTCAAGGAGAGTATGAACATCCTTCACCTCCTCGGAAATGGCTAAGAAAGGAAAAGAGGACAAAGGGAAAAATGCCCGAAAGGGGAAGAAGGAGCCTGTTGCTCAGCTGGACGAAGGGTCAGATTCTGACATGGAAAAGAGGAACGCTGAAGAAAGCGAGATGGACAGCGAGCTGGTGGAGGGAGAGGAGGCGGAGAATGAAGATGACCCTAAGAAGAAGAAGGGGAAGGACAAGAAAGGCATGGTCAAGAAGGCAGGCAAAGGGAAGAAGGGGCAGCTGGACGAGAAAGAGGTCCAAGACCTTCCTGCCAAGACCAAGAGGCAGCTCAAAGGAGCCTCCAAGCTGGTCATGGGCCTGGCAACAGAGGACCCCAAGAAGAAGGTGGCCAAGAAGGAACACGCCAAAGCCCAGCTGAAGGGAGCCACAAAGGCCATGGCCATGGCCAAGAAAGAGGCAGTGGCCCCACCCAAGAAGAGGCGGAGCTTGAAAAGCACCTCCAAGCTCTTCATGGGCGTCAAAGGGATGGGTCCTCAGAAGAGCACCAAGAAGAGCCAGTTCAAGAACACCTCGCGCTTCTTCTGGGGCCTGAAGAAGTACAGCACCAAGAAGAAGAAGAACAAGAAGAACAAGGGGGTGCTGAAGTCCACCTCCAACCTGATGATGCGCTTCAAATCTCTTGGAAAGAAGAAGGAGAAGAAAGAGGGAGCTTCTGGCAAGGAGACCAAGAAGTCCTCCTTCATGCTGATCCGGTTGGGAGGCAGGAAGTCAGAAGAACACCAGAGTAAAGGAGGGAGTTTCTTCAGCAACCTCTTCCAGAGGAAGAAGGCAAGTCAGAACTTTAAATCCCAGGCCCAGGTGGTCAGCAAGGTGGCTGCGGTCACCAACTGGCTGACCCGGAAATTCTTGAGCAAACGTAGCAGAACCAGATATGACAAACGAGCAACTGACGACTCTTGGCTAGCCAAGATTGGAGCCAGGAAATTGCCTTTCCCTTCAGAAGACGAAGTCTTGAGACACCGAGCGAATATGAGAAGAGTCCCTGGATCCAATAAATGTACCTGTTCCGGCCAATACTCGGAGGAATTTGGCCAGTGGGACCACCTGGATTCCGCCGCCTTACAAGATCACTGTGATGATTATGAAGAAGAAGGTGGTGGTTATGATGTCCAGTCCCCTTTCAAGTATGGCTTTTCTGGTTATAAACAGGATTGTTACGGGAGGGTGGAAGAAGAATATGGGCCTTATGATGAAGACTACGATGAGCAGGACCCTTACGGGTGCCACCCCCAAGAATATGGGCCGCCTTTCCATTATCCATCTTATGAACCTTATGAGGACTTCAGCAGTGATTATGAAGGGGAAGGTGGCCCACATTGGGCTGGAGAACTGGAACACCCCGAGGAGGAGGAGGAGGAGGAGGAAGAGGAGGAGGAGGCTTACTGTCAACAAGACATGAATGACAGTGACCAAGAATGGGTCTCCCAGTCTTCATACAACCCATACGCTTGTCTGTTGGATGACATTGCTGAGATGGAAGAAGCCGACAGAGCTGAGCCTGAGCCAGAAGATGTCCCCGTTGTTTTCTCCCGTTCTTCTGTGTTTGAACGAGGGGTGGCAGGGAAGACGGTTGCAATGGCACCCTTGAACAGGAAGCTTTTCCCGAGGCCCCAAGTGAAGCTGTTCGGGAGGGAGAAGCTTGATGTCCCTCTGCCCCCTTCCCCACAGATCTCTATGGCTTATTTGGATCCCGAGGAGGAAGGCATCCCTGAGGAGGAAGAGCAGGAGCCTCTAGTTTCTCCATTTGCCCAGTTTGATGGTCAGTATCCGGAGCCTTCTGGGTGTCGAGAGACTTTTTCAGAGTTGCTCCCTGCGAGGAAGCTTCAGAGGCCTCACCGGACCAACTTGGGTGGAAGGAACTGGGCTCAGGATCCAAATCACTTGAAGCCTCCTCTTTCTCCAAGAGAATGCGGGAGTCCCCTCGGACAGTTCCTGCAACAATCCATCTCTCAGCCAAGACCGATTCTGAAGCACCACGGGAACCGGAGAAGGAACCAACCAGGCACACGTGAGCCCAACAGAAGAACTCCGTCTCCGCGGTTTGGGAAGGAGGGTCCTCTGGAGTCATCTTCTCCTCCACCCCCAAGGATGCCTTTAGAAAAACCAAGTCCCACCTTCACCCACAGCTCCGTCAAGCAGCTTAGGGGTCCAGGGAAAAGCCACACTATTTTCGCACCTTCTCACACCGCAGTAGTAATGCAGGATGGTCTTCACCAAGAGTTGCAAGGCACTCTCCGGTCAACTTTCAATAGAAAGCCACAGCAAGACCTCAGGTTTTCCCAGAGGAGCACCTCGTGGTCCACAACCGGGCATCAAAATCCTTCCCTCAAGGGTAGGAGTCCCCATAACCATGTGTTTTCTCCTTCTCCGAGAACAGCCAAAGAAAACCGGGTGTCATCAGGGGGGCGCAGGACAACCACAAGGGAAAACTCATCCAAGGACGACTCTTTCCAGAACCCTCCTTCCCTTCACCCATCAGCACACAAGCGTCTGGGAAGTCAGCGCAGCCTCTCATCTTCTAGCTTAGCATCTGTTAAAAGCCTGACGGACACCCCTTTCAGTCGCTCATTATTTCATACCTCCAGCACTCCAGAGTTTCTAGGTTCGGCCAGAAATAGGACCTCTGGAAGGTCTGTCCCACGAGAATCCCATCATCCCACCAGGAGGAGTTTGAAGGCTCCTCCATCACCTCAACCATCCCTTAGGCATTTTGGATCTCCTCCCATTCCAGGCCACTTACAACCAACCAGGGCAGTTCATCAGGCATCAATGGACGCTTCGGGAAGCCTCCCCCAGGCTTGGAGCAGGCAGGCCGAGCCCCCAACGAAAGCAGTGAAGCCATTAATGAGAAACCAGCATTTGAGGCAGTTTGGCCACCACTCCCCAGTTTTNAAAGTAATTTTCCCACGGCACACCTTACACTATGTCACGGCACACTAGTGTGCCGCGGCACAGTGGTTGAAAAACACTGATCTAGAGGAACAATCAAGGGCGCAGTAATCCACTCCTCTTAAAAGTGGCCTTGGCTGAGGAATGCTGCCTTATTGGATGTCGGCTTGTTTCAGAGATCCTTCGCTCTGTGTCTCCCAAACTTCTCTCTCTGCCTCCCAAGGGAACCAGCACGAAGTACAGCCCCCAGCGCGTGGGGCTCAGCCACATGGTGGAGCACGAAGACGTCATCCAAGTGGTGAAGAAGTAACCGCCCGTCCCTGGCTCCCCTCTGTAGCGTTTCCGCGCAGCTTAGCTGCAAAGTGTGTAAGAACTCGGCTGCCCCACCCGGCCCAAGGAGGCGGGGCAGGGAGGACGCTTTGCCCCCCCAATCCCAGGAAGGAAGGAGAGGAGATGCAGCCGCGGAGAGGGAGAAGGCCCAGGAGGGGACCAGGGTTCTCCTCCTGAGTGGGAACCTGGTTTAAGTGGCGCCTGTCGTCCTCCGATGGGAGATGACTCGAGACTGAACGATCGTAGCCGCCTGGCTACCTCTGGCCTCAGACTTGTGACCTGGGGAGTCAGATGTCGGATCCCGAGTGAGGAACTTGCCTTCCTCCCTTCAGAACTCAGCCTTGCCACCTCTTCTCTGCGGGCAGGAAGGAAGGATCCGCCCGTGGGTGGGAGCCTGGATTAATGAGTCCTCTCCCCTCCTCCTCCCTCCCCGCTTCACCAGGTCGTCTCCTGATATCCCACAGCCCAGCCCCAGACTTCGGCTCCAGACCCACCCACCCGGCCCCAGGCCCCCTCCTCCCTCCTTCTGCTCAAATAAAGGATGCTCCCCACGTCTCTTTGGAACTTCTCAAATGTTCACGCAGCTCTTCCTTAGGTTGCTCTCAACACCAGCTGGACCTTCAGCCCTCCCCCCCCTCCCAAGCTGTGAGCTACAGGGCTGTTGTCCACTGGTCACTCCGGCTGGGGATGATGCGTGCGCCAATAGCCTTAAAAACATCTGGTTGAGAGTTCCTTGTGATTGTTTAAGCGGCCCTTCGCTCTGATCATCGCAGCACAGCTGGTTCGGCTAAGGTCATCCGCTTGTTTGGATGGCTTTGGGATCCAGTTTTTTAATTCCTCAACTGAAATAGAATAGAATAGAAGAATGGAACAGAACAGAAAATAGAATAGAGGAGAATAGAATAGAATAAGGAAGAGTAAATAGAAGAATAGAACCGAACAGAAAATAGAATAGAGAATAGAATAGAATGAGGAATAGAATAGAGTTATTGGTCAAGTGTGATTGGACACACAAGGAATTTGTCTCTGGGGCAGATGCTCTCGGTGTACATAAAAAGTTGTTGGTCGTTTGGGTCAGGAATGAGCCGAGGTGGCGCAGTGGTTAGGGTGCAGTACTGCAGGCCACTTCAGCTGACTGTTATCTGCAGTTCAGCGGTTCAAATCTCACCGGC